CAATAAAATAAGATGGTTTTTATTAGAAAGAAATCGTTTTCTTTAGAAAGAAAGAAAAATTAGACATGGAATAAAATAAAACCAAGAGAATTTTTTTATTATGGATAGTAGATAACATATCGCATTTTTAAGTTCTTTCCCGTTCTGTTACTCGCTGTTATGTAATGTAACATGGCAATATACATATAATATGAATTAGAGCGCGTAAGGCGTTTAATTAGTGATCTGCGAAAAGATGTTAATTAACGCGATCTAATCTTGGCGTCGATCGCGCGCAAAAGTCACTTCTGGTATTTTTTGTGCTTTGATAATGACAAGAGTGTCGACGCAAGCGAGTCGCTGATATGTAGAAATGCTGTTCAATCCGGGCGCGATTAATATACGTCAGCGTGCGTTGGCTCGTAGATCAACGTACGCATAACTACTTTGTGCGCATGATGTTGAGATAAAATCCGCTTTGATAAACAATCAAACCATGACGCAACAATGATTTGTCTATTCGCGAGGATGCAAAACTGTTTGTCAGGCTTGATCGCGACACATCTAGGAGCGTAGATCCTATAAAAATTATCCTCCGGGAATCTCATAAGTATTGATTTAATTGATAATCTAGCAATAACACCGGAAGAGGATAATCGTTTAAAAAAATCTAGAAAAATTACAAGAATATTCCAGGAATATTCCAAAGAATTTCCGGGAAATTGAGATTAAATATTTTTAAAAATTATGGCTAAATGATAAGCTGCGATCAGTAGAGTATAAATAAGGAAATAGAAGACATGCTGTTTTAAAATAATAAAAAAAAAAACAACTGTAAATCCCGGAAGATGAACAAATATTGTTAAAATAATCATTTACCAAATCTAATTTTTAATAAAGCATTTACTCCCTAGTTATAAAAATCTCAAAATTTTAATATCGAATAATCTTATCCAACTTTCAAGTATTTGTGTGTCATGTTCAATATATTTATGTCAAATATATTTTAAGCCTTGATCACTTAAAATTTAATACTTCACAATCACGATTATCTCGTAAAATCTCTAAAAATATTGACAAGGAAATATATATAGTTGCAACTGCAAAAGATTCTAAATTGATTACTACTGATTGCGCAATATCGCGCAAACGATAAGATTTTCCTGTCAACTGCAATAGGGTGCTTTCAGTCGTACTCAAAAACGAACATCATGATAGGCGCCATGTGATAGTAGATGATAGTATATATAAAGTTGTTATATTACGATGCGTGATGCACATCGCATTAAATATGAAAATTTATGAAATATCAATGTGTAATGCATTTAAATAGAAATGAATGGCAACTAGATATGCACGATAATCTCGTATTCGAGATTAGTGTGTTAAATTTAAATTCAATTATTATCGATTCGGGTAATTCATATAATGATAAATTGGATAATCCAGCTATAAATCGTTTAATTGTTTAATCGGGAAATCCGTGCACCCGCGAATAAAAGGAAGGCCACCTTTCGTACGCGTGCGGTATCGCGCGAATGGGAGAATCAAGCGTCGGAAAACTTTTTCCGCCGCGCGAAGCCGTGACGGGACCGCGGTGTGCCAGGGTGTAAGAGATGGCAAGAAAATGAAAGAGAGAAAGAGAAAAAGAGAGAAAAGAGACACGACGCTTGAGGGAAGCAACGGAGAAGCGAAGGGGAACGGAGGAAAAGACGGCCGAAATGCGTCGGAAGCAGAAAGGGAAATGCGAGAAAAGGAAAAAAAAATCGAAAAAGAGCGAGAGAATAAGAGATGCATGCGCGGATAACAAACGGGAAAAGCAAGAGCGAGAGAGAAAAAGAGAAAGAAAGAGAGAGGGAGAGTAAGAGAGAAAAAAAACGGGGCCTGATGGACAAGGAGCTAGAGGGGAGAAGTGGGAGTTAACTCGTGAGCGAGCGCTGGCGACGGGAGGAGGAGCGCGGTGGACGCTTTGCGGTCGGTCCCTCTGAGAGAGGACCGCTCGCGAGAGGAGGCGAGCGCACGGAGCGGAACGAGCGGAGGGAAGCGCAACATCGCAGGCGCAAGCGCAATGAGTCGCAGATCGACTCGCGGCGTGCGCCACATTGAAAGCTTGCGACATGCCGTCCAGGCGCTCAGTCGCGCGCCAACTCTCGAGTGGATTGTATCTCGATGTCGTATTCAGTTTCCTTGCGGTCGATCTCTATATAGCGGTCCTTCTGTGTGTATAGTCAAGTGCGAGAGACCAAGAGCGCACAGGAACATACGGCTGTGCGCGTGGGCATCAGTAAACCGCGTCAAGAATACGGAGCAAACGCGCATTGACTCAAAGCAAACGACGAGAGTTAAAAAATATCGAGATATATCGATAGAGGCGGACGACGTGTGATCGTCGTTCTCGAGATTTAGGAATATAAGCCGAGAGAACCATTAAGTAAGTACTTGGAACAGTGTCAAAAATCGCGACGTGCGCTTTCGAAGAAACGAAGACCGTTGTTGTCCACGTCGGTGACGGTGTGACGGCGATTTATACCGAAAAGTATTCTCTTCATCTCCTGCCGGCTCGTCTTGGACGACGTAGTACGCGCTACGACGGCCGCAGGAGAGGGAGATAGCTTACGAGCGGACTCGATAGTAAAAACGGCGAGATCGACGCAACGCGCACGGACCGATTGACGTTCTTACGCACAGAGACGGACGGACGTGGTGAAGTCGCGAAAGAATTCTTGTCTGTGATGTGCCTGTGAGCGATGGAATCACCAGTCATGTACGATTCGGCGGCCCATCAGGCCCAGGCCCAGGGTACGGTCGATTTAAAAAAGTCCCAGGTGCTAAGCAACAACGGCAACAATCACAACAACAATAACGCTGCGACGAATAATAATAATTCCGCGCTGCAGATCAACCATAATCACAACCATCAGCAACAGAATAACGCGGTGGTAAAGGTCTCCGGCAGCAAGGCGAGCTTGCATCAGCAATACGCCGAGCACTGTGCCGCCGCCGGTGAGCTTACCGATCTCAACAACCCGGAGATTTCATTGGATCTCCAGAATTTGATCGACGATAACAATTTTGGTGACGGTTTATTGGATATGCTCGGTACCAATAACAATGCCATAAAGCATGTTAGGCCGAGCGGGTATCCGCGTACAACACTCGCCTATATGCCGCAGCCAGTGCACAGCGGTGCGACCTATCATCAGAACAGCAATAGTTGCAGTGACAGCAACAGTACAAGTTCGGAGTCCCCTAGCATCAAAGAGGAGCCGTTGGATCCGGCAGATTATAGACGTCACTGCCCTCAGTACCCGCCTACCGGTTACAGTCCGGTGACGAATAACCCGTTCGCCAATGGTGGACAGACCTTCACTACCTTGACGCCGTCCACGATACCGACCGGTCATCCAGGCGCGCCGGTCCATCAGCCGCCATCGCGAGGTGGTCCTATGAAGGGGCCAGTAATGGCTCATCAGCATCACACTAGCGCGAACGTCGCCAGGAAGCAAACCAAGGCCATTGACAAGGCAAGCGACGAGTATAGGCGACGACGGGAGAGAAACAATATCGCCGTAAGGAAGAGCCGCGAGAAGGCGAAGGTACGATCGCGCGAGACTGAAGAGAAGGTCAAACTGCTGGTGAAAGACAACGATCTGTTGAAAAAGCGAATCGAACTGCTCACCGAAGAACTCAACGTGCTCAGATCACTCTTCAGCAGCGTCGGTGTCGTGCCTGAGCAACTACATCGCGAGATCACCAGGCACCTCGACCAGTTCCAGCAGCACGCAGTCGGACCTATGTAGCAACAACAGCAACAGCGCACGGACATCGCTACACAATTCGAGACGATATCATTGTCTGACGACGTCGTCGTTGATTCGCGTCCCTGGGCTATCAGGCCACTCCGATTGTGAGGCGAAGTCAATCGCGCGTCTTCCGCTTCCTCCCGCGCCTGCCCGCAACATCGTGTATCTCCGAAGAGAAGTCATCTTTCGTCTTCTCTATTTCCCTCCCGCTTGCTTGTTCTCTTTCTTTGTCTTTCTTTTTGCTCCTCCTTTCGTCTTCTACGTCGTCCACGTTTATATCTCACTCGACTCGTAACGCGCGACGCGGACGCACGTGCATGCGTGCGCGCGTCGTCGTTGCGTCGAAAGCCGCGAAGACGCGAGCGTGGGAGGGAAAAGAGAGGAGTCAACGAGTCATGTAGGAGGTCGATCGAGAAGAGCAAGCTACTCTACGCAAGCTTGCCACGATTGAAGAATACGATCGGCGTGGTTTACGTAGAAACTTCGCATTTCGTTGGAAAAGAAGTGCCTCTGCCCGTGGTATAAATAACCCTTCGCTCAAGAGAATGCTGTACGAACACTGAGAAAGCGATAGGGTGGACAAAACCTGATAAATAAAAACAATAAATTATGAAGAATCGCGTGATCTGCAAGAGCGTGCCATGCGTGTTGCGATTTTCTAACATAATATAAAAAATCGTCGCTTAAAATCGATGAAGTACGCAAGAAAAATAGTCTGATTTTCTTGTTTTTTATTCATCTTTTTCTTTTTTTATTCATCTTTTTTCATCGATCGCATTATTTCTTAGTATTGTTTACTTCCATTGTTTCTTTCTTAACTTACCGATTAAATAAGTAGGATAGATGATCGACCAACTTCGGGACCCCATCGGTAAATATGAAAAATCGCAACACAGAGGCAAGCTCCGACATTTCGAATAAATCATGTCTCGATAATTCACGTGAGAGAAAATCCTCACTTTAGTTATATATTACATTTCGTACTACATGTAAACAATACATGGACACAACACTTAACACATCAACACGAAAGACACGTACACATGGCGCTGTATTTAGATTCGGTTTTTAGCTAATGTTAAATTAATGAATTTAGGTTATCACTCTCCAATTACCAAGTACCTAAAAAAAGAGTCATACCGAAACACGGTGATCCATATCAACGTGATTCATATCAACGATCGTACATCATCAGGAGAAGTCGAATCCATCTTCTCTCGATACGTACTTTCTTCCGTGTTCATTATGTTCGACGAAGCACGGCCGAGTAACACAATCTGAGCACTTTATCTACGCCCTTGTATTATAGTTCTAATTAATTTTATTATTATATTCGAGATGTATGTACATAAAAAGCTAATATATTTTGTTAGAAGAGAAGCAGGAAGAAAGTGAGCGAATGAATGATTAGATGAATGAATGAATAAATATTAAATGAATGAGTGGAGAATGGAATAGTGAGGGTGAGAGAATGAGTGAGTGAGAGAGAGAGAGAGAGAGAGAAGAAGAGAGAGAGAGAGAGAGAGAGAGAGAGAGAAAGAGAGAGAATCAAATAAAAAGATTGAAAATAAGCGGATTGTATGCGTGAGCTCATATACCTGCGTATACGTATATATGTACAATATTGCGTGCATAAGTGTGTCGGGAGAGAGGAGTTGTTATAAGTATATTTTATTTACGGCGAGAGTGAGACCGAAGGGATCCGATAATCAGGCGAGAAACGGAAGAGCCAGAAAGTCATGCATGAATGCTCTATATAAGCATGCAGTTGAAGTGCGGCTTCATCTTCGCGATGCCAGCTCGTATGCAAATTCGATGCCAGCGACAACAACCAGCAGCAATGGCAGCGCCGTGTTGTTCGTCACGGTCGCACGTATCATACTTGCATGCGCGCGTTACTCGCGATGCGCGAACGATTTAATTACGCGGAGGCGCGCGACCACGTGCAATTAGTGTGAATGCGAGAGAGACGTTACGCACGCGTGCCTTGGTGTATGACTGACGTATGATGTTAGGGTACGAGATTACCTGTCACGGTTGTCTTCTTGTCTATGCACAAATATATTTTGATATGAAACCTATATGCAACACGCCTCTGTTTCTTTCCTTATCTTTACGCGTCAGTTCACCTCCTCCACATTTCCTTTGTGCCTTCCTCTCGCTTGATTTTAATTCCTTATGACACACTTAAGCCTTCGAAGCATAAAACTGCTTTTCCACGACTGATAACATCCTGAATATGATCTCAGAATTTAGAAAACTTATATGCAAAACTTTTCCGTTATTGCATATCATACTCTGCGTTATATGTGAAAAATATGTTACATGTATATTTATTTATCATACGACATACATAACTATAAAAATATCAACTTTTAGTCTTTCTCTATTATAAATTATTGAGCGCTATATTTCATCCATGAATATTGCTATAAAATGCAAAATAACTACTTTTCTTATCAAAATAATTATAGACTAATTCATTACTTTAATTATCTAAATATACTTTTATTAAATTTTTATTCTTTTTAAAATTCAATAATGAGATAAACATCTATCATAACTATAGTGTGCTGGAAAAAACACCATCATGCAAATTAATATTAAATATAAGAAAAATATAGGAAGTTATTGTTATATAGGATTAATTTTTCATCCAAATTTAAAATAAAGTTAAAAAACATCACAAGATTGTGATAAAAACTGAACTCGAACTTGTTATAATATTTTGATCTGAAATTTACAACAGATATAGTGACGTAAGAACGTCCTAAATAAATTCTTCTATCAGTGCGAAATGAAGTCATTGATCTGCCAAAAAAACCGATCGGTATTCGCGTCTACCGTAGAATATAGGTATGGAAAGTGATCGGAGTAATGGCGCGCGAATCCATCGCGGCGAGTGAGTCACGAGATAAGTTTGTTGTTAGTCAGATTAAATAGATTAGCACCATTGTGACGAGCGTGACGCGTGTGTGTAGCGAGCCCCGCGAAACAGGATACGACGTTACACGCGTGTACGCGCGAGCGCACGTGCCCGCATCTCGAATCGCACGCACGCAACGCACACGATGCGCACGCGGAGCATGAGGAAGCGCATCGTCCGCGTGGCGTAATTGGCGAAACGAGTTTTTTCATGTCGTGGCGCAAAACTAGTAACATCACAGTATCTAATATTTTACTAGTATCACTTGAGAAAATTGATCTTAAAGATTTGAATGAACAACGCCTAAATGTGTTGGGATAAAGCATTTGAAACAACTTTATATACCGATTATAATTGTCGACAAAGATTTATTGACACCATTAAGTGTATATTATACAGAGATAAAAATAATAATGAGAAATTAATAAATATAAAAAAAATTCGTGTAAATTAGTAAAAAGTTAATAATAGCTGACATTAAACGTACATACATGTATGCAAAGTAATACAATAATCTTCTCTTCATTTTTACTATCGAAAGTCATTCTTAGGGAATAAATTTCGCAAATTTTGTTATTTCTTACTCGTGAATTCACGGCTCGGTTTCGGTTCGATGATCCTCGTGAACGATTTATCGTATTCCTACGTGACACAATGCATCGTCTGTATATACACATGATACACATATTGTCCAGTGCAGAAATGCACGCAAGTAAATGTACAAGGAATAAAAATGAAATACCGAGACGGAATACTTCCGAAGAATTGGAATTGACATTGATGCAAGAGGATGTATACGTGGCCAGAATGATGCATCGCATGATCTCTAAACTTTGAACAATTTAAGTGTTTAAAATAACAACAGATAATGTAAAGAGAAATACTTTTCACATGAAACGTATTATTCGAAAAGCAACATAAAATTTTATTAAAATCACATTTTAAAAGTTTTATCAATTATAACTTTTTTTCTTATAATGTAGCATGCAAGATATATATTTTACAAATAAAATAAATTTTCTTCTATTATTATTACTATTCTATTCTATTATTATTATTACTATTTTTATTAAGGTTGCTTATTTAATACTTTTACTAATTTCTAATATCCATCGAAAGTCCATCTTCAAGTTATTATATTATCTTTATAATAAATAACGCATTAGTAAAATATCAGAGTAAAATTTAGATAAAGAATCAAAATAATGTTTAGGCATTTTTGAAACCTAATTACTATTGTTTGTTCTAATTCAAAGAACTTACTAAGAACTTACTAATACTAACTACTGAAACTATTTGGAATGGATTTAAATCAGAAATTATTCAGTTATTTATCAGCTTTCTGTGTTCTTTAAGAAAATAAAATAATTTCAATTGAAATCGATTCTAAATACTTTCAAAATAATAAATTTTCAGAAATATTTTATTAAATCTTATCAAAAGAAAGCATCTTGTTAATTCGATATCTTCAATTTTATTAGATTTTATTTTAATAGAGAAAATGTCATAATTATAATGTTATCTAGAATTGTAATATCGATATTAATTATTATTAATTTCATTTAATTAACAAAAACACATTTTTAAATAATGACGTTCTAACAGATAAATAGCCGACCAATCGCATAACACGACTGTAATAAGTCAGTAATAGCATTCTTTATGGATTGTATTAGACACGCATCTAATGGAATTAACTTTATCGTTGTTTGGCATAAAAATACTAAATGTAAATCTGTATCTAAGGCAATTCAAAGCAATCTAATCCCCTCTCTAGATTTGTGCCAAACCAGTCGTAAGTTACTTTTTTATATCGCGAACATACATATTTCATTCGAAGATACGTGCTTGATTAATAAGGCAGATAAGTCTTTCAATATCTTGTAGCAATTTTTTTTTACAATCATTAAAATAATCTGCAACTTTAATTTTATAAGCTTCTATTATATTAAAGAAAAACTTTTGATAATATAACAACTGCAGAATTGCAAAATATGAAAATTTAAATGTTTAAATTTAAATTATCATTTAATAATTACAGAAAAAACTGAAGGAAGTTGCCGTTATGAGTCACATTATTTTTCAATACAATCCCCTTTCTTTACAACGTATTGACGCCATTGCATTGGTCCGGTATCGATAATTTCCATATTCAACGTAAAGAAATAGAATAACAAACGCATTCACTTTTAAGTAGATTCAACGACTTCCTTATTTAATGAACTTTTTCTCTTCTAAAAATTTTTAGAATCTAAAAAATCAATAGAGATTCAGAGTTTATAATAAGTGCAAAAGTTTATTGATCCTTCGATTAGCATTTACTAATATTCCAAATTGAGAAGATATTTTGCATAATAATATTATATTGCTAAAATATATGCTGATTATAAGATTTGAGAATACAATTTCTGATTTATTCCCGGCTGTCATTAAATACTTTACTCTATTTATGTATGCTTATGATATGCTCATATGTATATCCATATTTTTTGCTATTTTGTATCTTTAATTTTTTTATATATTTGCGAAAGTTTTAGTTTTTTTCAGATTTAATAATTTGTTGTGTTATATTTAAGTAAATTTTCTATTTGCTCATACCTATCATTTCCGTTTCGAATTATTATATCAACTCAATGACAATGATTCAAGATCCATCCATATCCATATTCTAGAGCACCGTCCAATAGTATTACAGTTTTCACTTATCTTATCATTTGAACTCACAATTTAATTATAATTTAAATTTGAATACTTAGATATGACACCTTATGCTATCATATTCTTATAAGCATAGATTTCCTTTGAAGATATCAAATGGATTTAACGTATCATCTCTATCATTTTTTCCAATGTCCGGCGGATATGTTCATCGTAGCGCTTGCTTTATTGCCGCGTTAAATTTCTAACATAATGTTGCCAAGTTTTGACGCCGAGGTGTCTGCGTGCACGTGTCGCCGTCGATTCCAGTTTTAGATGCAAGCTGTGCCAGCGTTCATGCACGGAACGTCCACTTTTCGAGCATTCCTACAAACTTCTGAGCAGCAACGTCTGGTATCACTACGATAGCCGATTGTGTGAGTATTTCAATCTTGCTAATCAATAAATTACAACATTACTCGATGAAATTTATTGTATAATATAGATATAAGAAATATTGAAATGTACAGAAGATGAATTAGTAAAGAAAGAAAAAAAGATCCGTTGCATATATTTATTTTTTATTTTTTAACATATCAAATTTCATTTAAAATGTAAATCCGTTTTATATGTGTTCATGCATTTATTTATATTTAAATAATATTATATATGAACAGTTTTGTCAATCCTTCTTTTATTTAATATAGGAATAATAGGACTAACTCTCTTACATGCATGATATAATATCTCTCACCAGCATTTATCAGCGTTTTATCAGTTTATCGACTCAAGTTTAATTCTTTATATCAAATTTAATTCTTTATATTGACGTGGCTAGATGGTTTTTTTTATATCCAAAGCGTTCATATCCAAAGTGATAATTATAATCATGTTTTCATGTTTATTATTGATTTGTCTAATTTAGTTAAACAAAGTTAAACTATCTAATAATTATTGACGCAAATCGTATTTGATTTTATATTTATTTATTTTTTATTATAAATAATATTTATACATATCTAGTATTTAATAGGTAATATCAATGTATTATACTGAAACTATCGAAAAATTTTTAATATAACTTAGACTAAATCCATTTATCATCATTTATTTTGCTTTATCTCTGTATACAAAGCTTATTATTACATAATAAAGCGCGTATTAGTAACTTAATACAGAAGCTTCTAGTCGTGCCGGATGTTCTTAGCTACACTCCTATTATCAGCTCTTTGTTCTAGCTTTGGCGATCATGGCACAGCGCCAGTTCGAATTATGAGAGGGACAATCGCTAATTCACGCTGACACTATCATTCGCTTTTCTCTGTAGATATTAAGTACTACTATTGTCTCAGTTTGTATCTCATAGATGTCCCATATTTTGAAGGAAATAACGCACAAAATTTTGTTATGATTGGAAATAAAGATACAAAGAAAATAGCAGTAGTAAGTAGTAAAATCGCAACTAAATTAAGATAGACATTGAAACTCGCGATATTTTTTGAAACCATTCTTAAGACC